TCATTCCTGCATGCATTTCAGAGTTTCCCAGTTATAATTAGCTCCGTAATCTTCCCTGGCTAACTGCCATCCACCAAATGGGAATCACAAAGAGTCACAAAAGGAATTCCAACAAATGGGAAAGTTGACAGACTTCAAATACTTTTAAAGTGACACAGTGGTACTTAAATAGCCTTCCCCGAAACAAAATTACTTCAATTTAAGAACACTAAGGGATACCTTTAAATAATTTAGATAATGGCATATTAAAAATAGTTTTTAAAAAGTGCCTTTAGGGACTGGCATGGTGGCAGAGTATGGTAATCCTTCACCTACAACACTGGCATCTCATACTGGCACTGGTTCAAGTTCTAGCTGCTGTACTTCCAATCCAGATCCCTGCTTATGGTCTGGAAAAGCAGCAGAGGATGGTTTAAGTCCTTGGGACCCTGTACGCAAGTGAAAGGGAAAAAGCTCCTGGCTCCTGGCTTTGGATAAGCTCAGCTTTGGCTGTTAAACCATTTGGGGAGTGAATCAGAAACAGAAAGAAGTCTTTCAGTCTCTTCTGTCTCTGTAACTCTGAATTTCAAGTAAAAATAAATAAAATTTTAAAAGATTTATTCATTTTTTAATTGAAAAGTCAGGTATACAAAAATGAGGAAAGCCAGAGAGGAAGATCATTTGTCTGATGATTCACTCCCCAAGTGGCCAAATGGCCAGAGCTAAGCCAATCCAAACTAGGAGCCAGGAGACTCTGCCAGGTTTCCCCTGCAGGTGAAGGGTCCCAAGGCTTTGGGCTGTCCTTGACTGTTTTCCCAGGCCACAAGCAGGGAGCTGGATGGGAAGCAGGGCTATTGGGATTAGAACTGGATCCCAGTGTTTGCAATGAGAGGACTTTAGGCACCAGGCTATTGCAACAGGCCCAAACATAAATAAATTCTTAAAAAGTGCCTCTGGGGGCTGGTGTGGTGACACAAAAAGCTACTCCTCTATCTGCAAGTGCCAGCACCCCACATGGATGATAATTTTTATCCTGGCTGCTCCATTTCTCAGCCAGCTCCAGAGAATGACCCAAGTCCTTGGGACTGTGTGCCCACTTGGGAGACCTGGAAGAAGCTCCTGGCTCCAGACTGGCTCAGCTCTGTCTGTTGTAGTAATTTGGGGAGTGAACCAGTGGATGGAACATCTTTCTTTCTGTCTCTCCTTCTCTTTGTAAATATACCTTACCATTAAAAATAAATCTTTCCTTAATATGCTTCTAATGTGATAATATGAACACATTTGACTTTGGCTGGCTGAACACTAGTCTCTTCTCCATTTATTAATTTTCAAAACATTCACACCGATTACCCCACAGATCTCAAAACTTTTCAAAGCAAAATTTCAAATTCCACCCCTGAGAAACTTGGAGAAAAAGTCACAATAGCTAATGATCCCGAGCACATCCAACTGTGACAAGGAACTCCTTCCCACTCTGCTGGGAAAGAGACAGTGTTCAGATTTATTTATAATAGCTGCAACAACCTCTAGGGCAGAGAAAACCAGCAGCTGGAGAAGAAATTTCAGAGTTACCTGAGGGCAGTATACACAGCCAGGAAGAACACTGCCAGTACAGCCAAGAAGGGTCTTGAAGTTCTTGACAAAGAACTTTCAGTGCCTAAGGAGATGGCCATGGAGAGCCCAATCTTCTTTTGCCCAAGGAATGCATGCTAAGAACTCACTTTCCTATCAACACTAAGTATTTTTATTTAGTGCACTTTTCCACCTAATAGCTTATGGTCAAAATGCTTAAGGATGGAGATGTCCACTTTTCATATAAAGTGCATATATTTCCTGTATTTGGAAAAAGGGATTCAGACCAACTGAAGTAACCTTTTCTCTTCTAACATGCAAAAACTGATGCAGGGGTGGGGGTTTGGCTCAGGGGCTGAGACATGCATCCTTAAGATTCACATCAGAGTGGCTGGGTTCGTCCCACCCAGTTCCATTCCTCATCCCAGCTTCCTGTTGATGTGCACCCTGTGAAGCAACTGTGATGGTTCAATTTAGGAACATTAAAGGACAACCTTATTTTTTTATTGGGTATTAGTATTTTTAATAGTGGTTGGGTCCATGTCTCCAATTTGAGAGATCAGGTTGAGTTTTTGGCTCCTGGATTCAGCGCCAGCTGTTGTGAACATGTAGGAAATAAACCAGATGATAAGAGAGTATTTCTCTCTTTACTGTTTTTTAAATAAAGCAAGTAAAAGTTAAGGGGGGGAAATGTATATACTACACAGAGATACAACACACGCAGACCTGCCGCACTCTTAAGTGCCTGCCATAGCGGAACCATCGTTATTCCCAAAATAGTGCCCTGCATATATCAAGCATTTAAAAATAGTTGTAGAGAGCCTGTATGTGGGCCTAGTAGCCTAAGTCCTCACCTTGTACGTGCCGGAATCCCATATGGGTGCTGATTTGTGTACTGGCTGCCCCATTTCCCTTCCAGCTCCCTGCTTGTGGCCTGGGAAAGCAGTCGACTAATGGCCCAAGGCCTTTGGAGTCTGTACCATGTGGGAGACTGCAAGAAGCTCCTGGCTCCTAGCTTCAGATAGGTTCAGCTCTGGCCATTTAACAAATAGACTTGTTATATGATCCATATCTTCCCATCCTTCTAAAAATTTATCTAAGAAGTGTTATAAAAATCACAACCAAAAATGTAAGCTAATTAAAATAGCACATGGAAAGTTCTGAATTGTGGGATGCTGATTTTTAATCCATGATTAATTCTTTCAAAACCTCTACTACTCACAAGACAATTTCTTTCTCCCAGGGATATATTATCTTTGATCAAGTAGAATGACAATCTAGTTGGAGAACTGGGCCATTTCCAGTTTTTAACACAAGGAAGGACATAAAGTGTGGACAGGACAAGGATTTTGAATCCAATCATTAGTTGTGAAGTATGAACACTATATAAATATGTCTATATATATTTATATATATGCAGACACATATACTATACACACATATACATATATAAACATATATGTGTGTTTATATATATATACATTATACACATATACACACACAATCTGTTATGAAGCTTAAATGAGACAAAGTATGAAAGTAGTTTGGAATCTAATATTTATTAACTCTTTTCCCTATGGAGCAGTGTAAGTTGGTACCAATGTGGTAAATGCTTTTTTAAAAAAAATCAGAAGCCAAAGCTCCAACTTTCATACTTGAAAACTGATTTATGAAGGTACTGATCATCCAGGTTATCATTTGCGACTCAGACTTATCATTTATAACAGCAGCAAGGTTAAACGTACAGAGAGCTCACAATGTACAAAATTTAAAACAGAGTACAACTGTTAAAATATGGTAGGGGGAAGGGCGTCATCTTTTTGTGTAAAACTGTTGGTTTGAAAGAAAGCTACCATTTAAAATAAAGTACAAGGACAAGTAAATGCACTGGTATTCTAGACTGAATCATCAGAACTGTACTGTGAATTAGATCTGCAGTGAACAGTAATTTATCTGCATTAATTTTGTGCTATTTTTCTATAAATCTATAGAAATTTCTACAATTTCTATAAATTAAAACCGTAGGATTATAAATTATATTAATTCCAAAATAAAAAGTTCCTTTTCAAAAAAAAAAGCGTAAGGACTAAGTAATGACTATTATACAAAGCAATTCTTAAGTATTGTCACTGGATTTAAATTTTCCCAAAGATAGCTATGACATCGAAGATTATTAATATTACTGCATACCAACTCAGCAAGCTATTGTAAAACATAACTGCCTGAAACACTTTGTCTACTTTTCCCCTGGCACATTCTCATAAAATAGCGACTCTATGGTAACTGAACTTTATTGTTGTTAAAACCAGTACCTTTGCCTTTCTACTTTTCAACAAGACATGAATTTAATCAGGCCATGAGAAAACTCTCTTATCGCATATAATATGTAACATGCATTTGAAAGTCTAATGACAAGTGACATTTCGGAACCTGGTGCTAAAGGTAGGCATAAAGTGCCCATATGTTTTCATAATAATGCAGGCACCAAATTTGTACTTTAATCTATGACACAGCATTTAAAGAGCTATTTTTTATTTCCAGGGTAAAATGATGGCCATTACTAACTTTTTTTTTTAAGTACTGCTGCATTTGTTGACACAATAAGTGACTGGAAACTTAACTAGTTGTGTGTTCCGGCAATATGGCTGAAGCTTTTAACACTGGGATCTGTAAGGAAAGGATTTTCTTGCATTCCAGAAAGCAAATCAAACTACCTACAAACTGGTGACAGAGGTTTAAGGCAGCACCAATTTCAACGTGTACAGCCCCAACACACACAGCGGTACTGCTTAGCTCTGCTGATGAGCATTTCTTAATACACAAGAGGAACTTTATGAGGCAGGTTACAAATTTCAAAGAAACTTTCATCACATTTTCCTATTTCAAAAAAAAAAAAAAAGGAAAAACAAACAGCAATGCAGCAAAGTCATTGCTCCAGCTGAAATGACCTCCAGCTTTTTCGGTTATTCTCGGTTTCGCAATAAATGAATCTGACTCTTTACCACGTACGCACAAACACAGCAGAAGCTGAGAACACTAAAGCTTCCTCAACAATCTTTAGTTTAAAAAACCACCTGCCTTCTGGCCCTCCCAGTTCTCCTTCCCAATATACAGGGTACCTTGACACCGCTCAGTAGAACAGGGATTAATCAGTAGCCAAAACCTTGTTTTATTATCATTTACAGCCTCTATTTAGGGGAGCTTAAGTGCTTATAACCTGATTTCAAAGAGACAAAACTAAACCAAACGGGCTCAGGGGTACAGATTATACTTATCCAAAACGCCGACCCAGCAGCATAAGGCGGTTCAGATGTCAATTAAACGCATAGGGCTTCGCAAATGGTATCTCAAATGAACATTTCCACTTCCAAACCACCCACCAACCCTCTCGACTGCCAGGACCCAAATTTGACGAATCAACCCGAGATATCAGAAGAAGCAAATCTTACCTTGCACAAATCTCGACATTGTAAGAATGTTATTAATATACTGACTTATAATATATATATTTTTAATTTCTAGCAGTCACACTATCGGCAGGTCCCTCTTCCTTCTCTCTTGGCTTTAACAACCGACGAGTTCTTTCTCCTCCTGTGTTTCACTACTTAGAAAGTCTTTATTCAAGCGAATAAAACTTGCTCCAAATATACATACATATATACAAGAATATATATGTACACCTGGGGAACCCTCCGATTCCCAAACACAGAAACTTGCGAATTAAGTCGGCCTTGGGAACTCCCGGCTACGCTGCGATCCTGGACACCAACAAGAACCAGCAGGAGTCTCCCGGAAAAGGTAAAAACACACGAACTTAAATTTCATCAATGAAAGAGGCGGACCTACAGCGGCTATTTCACCGCCCCTCGAGCTCCACGCCCTCTGGGGCTGGACTGCAGCAGGCACCCGGGGCGCAGCCCCGCCGCCCCCTCCCCATCGCCGCCGGCCAATCTCGGGCTGGTACCCGGAAAACTCCCGTCAACAGCCGCTCCCGCCCCAGCACGAGTTGGCGAGGCGGGTCAGGCGGCCGTGGGGGGCAGGGGGAGGGGGCGAACGGAACCATTTTTACCAGCCCCAAAATATCCTGGGACGTCCAGGAGGCACCAGGAATTCCGCGCGCAGACAGGCCAACTGGCCGGGGCCTCGGGTCACCCGCGGCCTCCAGCGCCCCGCCGAGTCGCCGCGAGTCGCCAAACCCGGCCGCAGCTGCTCGGCTGCAGAGGCCCGAGGCGACGCCGCCCCATCCCAGGCCGCCGACGTGAAGGGGCCGCCCGAGAGGGGTGGTCCCTGCACCGCGCGGAATCCCCAGGGAGGCCTCGGCTCCCTCCGTCCACGCGCTCCTCCAAATCCGAAATTCAGCCCCTGGGGCTACAGCGGAAGGGGCAGAAGCACTCTTAAACATCTCAAATAGAGAAAACGTAGCAGCTGAGGGGATCACCGGAAGCCTGACCCCGCCCCTCCCCATATAGCCAGCGAAACCCACCTTCCTTCTCCTCCTTTAGCAGCTGGGAGATTAGGGGCGTTTATGGCGCCCCGAGAAGAAGCCTCGCAGGCTGAGGAAATGTCACCTCTGAGGCACCCTTCCGCTTCCCCCTCTTCCCTCACTGGTGCACACCCTGAGCCCCGTGCCAGCGATCGCAGCCCAGCTGCTGACCCCCCTCTCGTCCACCGCTGGCGGGCTCCCGACACTCAAAACCCCTACTTTCTCCCAAACACTTCCCCTCCCCCTCCATTCAGGGCAGCCCTCCCCCGCCCCCCGCCCCACCGAATGCGGAAATGTCCCAGAGAGACAGCCGCAGCCACCATTCCGGAACCGAGGCGCACAGAGCGCTGGGCCAATGAGAGGTGCGGAGGTGGCAGGGGGCGGGCAGTCTGCGGCGTGAGAGCGAACGGTGGGGGCGGGACCTGGGCCGCGCGAGGGAATCCCGCGCGTCACACTCGCCGCGGACGACTCACCTGTGAGACTCGCCTCCTTCAGTCACCCGGGCTCGGAAAAGAACGTAAACACGAGTGCTTGTGTTTACAGCCCGTGATAGTGTTCCCGCTCAGGAAGCACTGAGGAAACACTCTGGCGAAGGGAGCGAGAGCTCGCCTCAGCAGCTGTCCGGAGAGAGCGCCCAGCCCCTCCTCAGCGACAGTATCTCTGCTTACCACGTCTGTGGTGGGATGCTTCTTAAAGCTTCGGGGCCGCCAAATGAGAGAGACTTAGGGCGTCGAAGGAAGTGCTAGCTGAGGGTACGCTCACAAGAACCAACCTCACCCTCGTGCATTGGGGACTGTTGCTGTCCTATAGACATTTACTCGTCTGCTTCCTATGGAAGTGACTTCTAAGTTGTTCAAGTCCTCAGGGAGAGGATGTTAAAGGCTAGCACATGGACCCTAGCGTGGGCACTGCCTGAGGGGCCACCTCAGCGCCCGTAAGCCCACTCGATACTGCCACGCCCACTGCCTGAGTGCCTGTGCCTGAGTGTACCCAGACTTCGCCTTTGCACCTCCTGACTCAGCCTGCCTGCCTCAGGTGTGTGAATTGTCAGCGCTCTGAAGTGTCTGCAGTAAACCATATGTTTCCCAAAGAGATTTGAGGCTTTAAGGTACAGTGAGAATTTTTAAGACACCAGTGTTACAACATGTAATAAAAGGCCAGTGATCATTTGTCACACTAAACAGTGACAGACATTTGGGTACTTTAAGTGAAATCTGAATGAATTACACCCAGAAACTTCCCTGTTTTACACTAACTTGCCCCAAGAAAAACAAGGTATCGTAAATAGATATCTACAATTCAGTAGCTGCATTTGCAGACTTAATTTGAATGTCTGCAGCTCTTGTGAATAGTAGAGAAATTATTCCAGAATTGATTAAGCAGTATTTATTTATCAGTGTTAGTGCCAAAATAAAGGCTGACCAAAGGCTGGGCCCCATTGAGTTTCTTAGCCTGCAGAGTATACAGAGCAATAAAGTTTCTAATTATGCAAGGCTTATAATCAGCAAGAATGATTAGTTATTTTTCACCTTCACAGAAAATGAAGGGAAAGGAAATGGGTTTGAAATGCCGGTAAGGGCACTTGCTATTACTAAAACTGATACTTTGATTTATGAGTGATTAAATATTGAGTTATTATAACAAAATATGTAGACTTGCTGCCTCAAGAAACTTAAAAAAAAACTTACCATTTTCAGGAGTTTAAGCCATAACTATTCAGAGGCTGATTTTTACAGAAGCATCATGCTAGATGCCTATTCCCAAATATTTTTTTAAATGCCCCACTAAATAGTTTAGATAGAGAATTAAATTTAATTTCTGAATGCCCAAAGAGCATATAAAAGAGTCTCCCACTCCCTCAGCCACTGGGAAATACATCATTTAACAGATATATGAAAGCAAGGGATATGTCTTGAGGTGCCCAGCTGCTGAATGTATCTATGTATGTATGTGTAGGTGCAGGAGGTAGGTCTTCATGGCCATGGGGTCATGACTTGATTAGAAGGCAATTGCCTATTTCAATCCTTAAAAAATCTTGTTCTCTGTATGTATATGTGTTTAATCCTTTTTTGCTAGGTTAGAATTTCCCTTCAAGGTACATGATGTTGATAATCTGAAGCATTAGATACCTATAAAAGATTTACAGATTATGTCATTGCAGACAGAGTGGAGAGAGCTAAAGTAGGAAAAAGATGAAGGGTTTGAAAGGAATATATAGGCTGGGAAGAGGGATTAGAATGAGATGGGTGAAGGATTAAAGATGCCTACAAGTAAGCTTTTTTTGTGATTCCAATGTGCTGCCAGTAAGGCTGACACAATTTGTAATTTCCTTCATCCCTTCTTATTACTGTCCCATAGGTACATGGTAATATTTAGTGTGCTTTATCCACGCTCATGTCCTGGGGATACCTAGTAACCTTAGTCATTTTTTTTTTTTTAGTTGGAAAAGCAGACTTATGGAGAGAAGGAGAGACAAGACAATCTTCCATCTGCTGGTTCAGTCCACAAGTGGCCTGCAACTGCTAGAGCTAAGCCAATCTGAAGCCAAGAGCCAGAAGCTTCATCTGGGTCTCAGGTTCAGGGTCCAAAGGTGTTGGGCCATCCTCTACTGCTTTCCAGGCCACAAGTAAGGAGATGGAAGGGAGCAGCCAGGACCTGAACCGGCACCTATATGGGATCCTGGCACTTGTGAGGTAAGGATTTAGCCACTGAGCCATTGTGCTGGGGCCTATATTTATCAATCTTCTCACATCTTTTTCTTTTTCTTTAGTTAGGAACTTCATTAACAATAAGGAAATACTATCTACTGTTCTAGTTTCTAGGCATCTTTGGTAGCTGTCGTAGATGTAATGGGTTGGCACAGTGTCTAACATATAGTATACATTGCCTAAGAACACTGAATAAACTGTTAATGCCACTGAGTCATTTTAACTCGTGGATTTCTATCCTGTTCTCTACTGTCTGAGAATCATTAGTAAGAAATTTAATTTCTTTTTGGGATTAAGATTTTTCAAGTTACGGTTATTTCCACCTAGAATGTGCACCTGGGTCGAAGTATGAGGGAGCTTTCAAGTTTTTGGATAAATGGAATTAGAAGGACACAAATTTTCTATTAACTTTCAGATTCCTTTCATATAAGAATGATAACAGTAAATATGGTACCCTGATGACGTTATGGTAAGCTTTGCTACCTACCCAGCATGAGAATTATATACTAAGACATGGTTTAGTGGGCCCAGAGGCATGGCCTAGTGGCTAAAATCCTGACCTCAAATGCACTGGGATCCCATTTGGTCGCTGGTTCTAATCCCAGCAGCTCTACTTCCCAGCTCCCCGCTTATGGTCTGGGAAAGCAGTCGAGGGTGGCCCAAAGCCTTGTGACCCTGCACCTGCGTGGGAGACCTCGGCATAGCACCGGCCATTGAGCTCACTTGAGGAGTGAATCATTGGACAGAAGATCTTCCTCTCTGTCTCTCCTCCTCTTTGTATATATGACTTGCCAATTAAAATAAAATAAATCTTTTTAAAAAATGACATAGCTTAGAAATTGCTGTAATATAAAATAGGTATGCAGATCCAGCAATATGTGTGATCTTTTATTTACTTTTTTTTTCTTCTCTACACTCAAGAAAGTAAAGTAGTGCAGTTTGAGGGAACATGTCATCGACATAAAAGTTTGTATGCCATGCCCAAGTGTAGCCAAGAAACCAGACAACAACTATCCTGGACTGTTGCCCATATTGGCTCATATCTGTACCCATCTAAATCCTAAATCACCTACTTGAAGGAAGAAACGGGGGCTACTGTCACTCAGTGAGCAATTGCCAATTACTGACTAGATGTAACAATAGAGCATTTCATTTGAATCAAAAGGTAACAGAATAGGGTTAACTGGAAAAACATATCAAATTGTGTCTATGAGACAGACTACTAATGAATGAGTGTTTTGGAAATGAATGGTTTCTGAAAACTTGAGGAAGAAAAAGGCTTCATTCTTTCCTGTTGCTAATGCTCTGTTGTTAACGAGGCAGGAAGTTTGTTGAAACAAGGTGTGAATTTAAATGATGACATATTCTTTTCTTTGTTCACCCGTGTGATTTTTAAATTGTTTGAACAATATATAACGTAAGAAATGCAGCAGTTATTTCAAACAGGTGAGGTACTTAAAGAAAGTCACAATTAAAGGTAACTATCTACACTAGAGTTAATAAATCAATCATCTGAATGCTTTTAAAGGTTACTAGGCTTACTAGTGGCTAAAGTCCTCACCTTGCACGTGCAGGATCCCATGTGGGTGCCAGTTTGTGTCCCAGCTGCTCCACCTCACTTCCAGCTCCCTGCTTGTGGCCTGGGAAAGCAGTCAAGGCCTTGGGACACTGCACCCATGTGGGAGATCTGGAAGA